TTAAAGTAATTTAAGTGAATAAACATCTTAATCTTATACATCCCCCCAAGAACTGGTAGTACAGATCATGTGCTTATAAGAATAGAGTATACAAAGCGAAAATGAAATAAATGCATAGTTTGTTTGAATAATACATAAACAGAGCTTTTATAAATCTAAGGCTACCCTGAACAAGAGGCAGCTACAATAGGAACGCAGGTACATCTTCAAGTCCCGCAACCATCGAGCACAACAACAACAACAGCCAACATCTGCATGCAATATGCAGAAGTGTAGTATCAGTACAACCGACCCCATGTACTGAGTAAGTAACAAACCTAGCCGTAGGTTGAAAGTAGTGACGAGCTTCTAACAAGGTCGGGTCCACAACCAATAGTCTACAACAACATAAAGCAAATAATAACATAAGTAACTCAGAGATAAAATGCTCAGGCAAATCATGATTTCAAAAATAATAGTTCTTCATTTCAAATACATCAGTGAAAACCCAAATCGTTTTCCGAAGTTGCCAAAAAAATATGAATAGTTTGAAAACAATAATTTCTCCCAAAAATCTTTTCAATAATAAATAAGATGTTTCATTTTCCTTCCAGATAACCCGTGTAAAACAAATACATCACTATGCCCATCTGTAAAAATGTGTGAGAAATCATGAATGATGTGATGTTGTACAACATGAGAAAAATACATCTCTATACCTGTATGTCATGTATGCATGCCAATGCAATGCAACTCAGTGATAAAATCATAAACAGCCCCTCGGGCAGAACATCACTCATATGCAGTCCCTCGGGCAAACCTCACAGTCACTCATGCCACTCAGGCATACCTTACAATCACTCTTGCCACTCGGGCATACCTCACAATCACTCATGCCTCACAGTTACTCAGCACTCGGCACTCGCACTCAGTAGGTACCCGCGCTCACTGGGGGTGTGTACAGACTCCGGAGGGACTCCTTCAGACAAGTGCTATATCAAGCCAATCATGGCATAAATCACGCAGGCCCTCGGCATATATCAAACATGTTGCGGCATGCAGCCCGATCCCATAAATATGCAACATACTGCGGCGTGCAGTCCGATCCCATAAATAAGCAACATATTGCGGCGTGCAGCCCGATCCCATAAATATGCAACATGCTGCAGCCCGATCCCATAAATATCCTCACAAATCAGGCCCTCGGCCTCACTCAGTTATCAACCTCTCCAGTATCTCGGGCTCACCATGTCATGAAAAAAAAAGCCCAAAAATGATGATATGATGTATCAATACATAACAACTATGACTGAGATATGATATGCAATGAAATAAATATGACTGAGTATGAATTTCAATTTAATACAATAATTTACAGCAATATGACCTTTGTGGGTCCCAATAATACTGGCACATAGCTTCAACATGATTTTTAATATGCTTTTCAGCTCAATTTCTTTAACTCATAAAACCGCATGGAAAATGCCAAGATTATTTAAATATAAAATTCTACAGAAATAATTATGTCACAATTTTTATAGTGCACGCCAACACGCCCGTCACCTAGCATGTGCGTTACCTCCTAACAATTCACAAAATACATATATTCAGGGTTCATACCCTCAACTCCAAGATTAGAAGAGTTACTTACCTCGAACAAGCCAAATCCAAAGTCGAGCAAGCTAAACAATGCTCCAGAAATCCCATTATACGCGTATCAACTCCCGAACGGCTTGAATCTACCACAATTAATTTGATTCAGTCCACACAATTTATAGAAATTAATTCCATATCAATATGCTAATATTTTTCATAAAATTCGAAATTACACCCCAAAAATCACCCGTGGGGCCCACGTCTCAAAATCTGACGAAACTCACAAAATACGATAACCCATCAAATTACAAGTTCAACCATACTAATTTCACTCAAATCTGACTCCAAATCGGTATTCAAACTTGAAAAATTCATTTTGTGACATTATAGAAATTTTCTTCTATTTCTCTTTAAGATTCATTAATCTTACACCAAAAATGAAGATTAATTCATGGAATATAATCACAAGAGAATTAAGAACACTTACCTAAGTTGTGTGGAAAATTTCCTCTCCAAATCGCCCAAACCGTGCTCCAAAATCCGAAAATGAGAAATATTCTCGGACCCACATTTTTAACACTGCCCAGACATTTCTGCACCTGCGGTGCCTGGGCTCGCACCTGCGCATCCGCTTTTGCGGACAAAAATACGCGCCTGCGGAAATATCCGGCCCTCTAAAATCTTGCATCTGCGGCGTCATTCTCGTATCTGCGGGCTCGCAGATGCGCATTCCCCTTCGCACCTGCAGTCGCCTCACGCCTATCCCAGTCCGCATCTGCGCCAACACCTTCGCACCTGCGGCCTCGCAGATGCGGCAAATTCCTCGCACCTGGGAGCATTGCTCAGTTCCATACTTGGCCGCTTCTACGACTGATCTCGCGCACATGCGGCTTCGCACCTTCGATCAAAAGCTTCACAGGTGTGATCACACCAGTAGGCAGCAACCCCAGCATTTCCTTAAGTCCAAATTTGATTCGTTAACCATCTGAAACTCACTCGAGCCCCTTGGGACCCCGTCCGAACATACCAACAAGTCCTCTAACGTAACATGGACCTACTCGAGGCCTCAAAATATACATAACAACATCGAAACGACGAATCACACCTCAATTCTAAATCATTGAACTTTGACGTTTCAAGTTTCTACAAATGACTCCGGAACCTATCAAATCACGTCTGATTGACCTCAAATTTTGCACACAAGTCACATTTCACATTACGGACCTATCCAAATTTTTAGAATTGAATTCCAACCTTGATATCAGAAAGTCAACCTCCCAGTCAAACTTCCCAAAAATTAATCTTTCGGCATTTCAAGCCTAATTCCACTACGGACTTTCAAATAATTTTTCGGACATGCTCCTAGGTCCAAAATCACCATACAGAGCTATTGGAATCATCAAAATTCGAATCCGAGGTCGTTTACATATAAGTCCATATCCGGTCACTATTTTAACTTAAGCTTTCCAATTTATTCAAAAATCTCACTGGACCTGAACCAATTACCCCGTCAATTCACACAACAACTGTAAAGTACAATTTGAGTAGTAAATTGAGAAAACAGGGTTGTAATACTCAAAATGGCCTGCCGGGTCATTACATCCAGGCAGCCGTTCTTCCAAAGAAATTGGATAAATGACTCCATCGTATGCTCTGTCTATATTTTTTAGACCATACGAGTTTATTTTATTTTGACCAATAACATCCAACCCATGACTAATCCACTGCACTCATTATTCACAATTTTTTCTCTATTTACTTCTAAAATTGGTGTATGTGGAGGTGGTAGTGTGGTGTTGGTGTAGCTGCTATATTTGAAGCTTGATAAAGACTTGTCAAATGGAACTTCAACCGCTTCTTCAACCTCTTTTTCGGTCATAAATATCTTTAAACAGGGTCCCGTACCATCCTTTGTAATATCAAGAACATATGAACATAAATTCTCATCATTTTTTATAAAGGAAGGAGGAATCATGTCCCTCGTCGACGCAGAGCTAAACATGTACATAATATTCAAGTGCCTGATAATTGGCCATATTTAATGACAGTATCAACAAAATCATTATAAGTACCATTGGTACGCATACGAATAGGTATTGTCGCTTTTGTATCCGAATTTTAAGTCCAATTATTTGGCCCCTCGACCAATTCACACAAAATAAAGACTGCATGCTAATATATAGTCCTCCATCAGTATACTGTAAAACTGTGGTCTATTGAACTATGGTCTATTGTGCACAAGTGGTCGAGCGACTAAACAAATCGTAGAGGAGTATGACTCAAATCTGTAGAACCCATAATGCACAATGACGAAGAAGATGAGATGTAACTACTTATCAGACGAACAACTCACACATTATATCCCTTAAAAATAATGCCCAATGAAATGTACCACCAATTCTATGTCCAAATAGATAAATCGGCAAATTTGAGCTTCATCTTCAAATCTAATTGTCTACTATGAATGCGGCTTTGAGATTAAAGGGAGAAGAAGGGAGAAGGTAAAATTGAGTTGTATGCATGAAATGGATGAGAATGCGAGCCAAAAGAGGGGAAGTGGAGGATTTTCGCACAGAGATGGGATGAAGAAAGGGTTTAGGGTGGCGGCAAACCTAGGTGGATTTTGGGTTTTTTTACTGCTTTTGGTAATAAAAAATAATATAGGTTGGGTATTTGTAATAAGTAAAACTTTGGCGCTGCAGTCTGAACTTCTCCCTTTATCTTCTTATTAACTCAAATCACACAAATATACTAATTAAACAAGCAGGTCTTTTGAACAATAATTAAAGCTTGAAGGTTAATTGAGAATTTAAGTTTGGAAAGGGATCATATAGCCAACTTGCCCTATCTTACTTCCTATTCTTTTATCAAATCAGTTCATATCTCTTATGACCAGTATTTTTCACTAGTATGTATCACAACCTTTTTGTTATCCAATGTCCTCGAAAGACTAATACGTACCGCGATGACTTTTCGAACCAAGTTTATTCCCTTGTTTATTCCAGCAGTGATTAAAGACTTACCTGCTAATAATAATTTGTACATTTCATCATTTTCGGCACTAACTAAAATATTATTTCTGTGGTAAATAAAATTGTATTTAAGGTGAATGTCTATATTTTAAAGAGATTTTAGGGTTTGTCACTTTGTGGCTTAGGGCTGGGCATATATCGGGTATAACCGATAGCCCAGACCGAAAAATACTTATTTGGGTATCGGTATCGGGTTATTGGGTTAACAGTTCGGTAACAGTTTAGTAATTTTTTACTATTGTGTTATTGGTTCGGGTCTCGGTTTGCTCAATTTTCTTAACGGGTTAATCGATAACTCAATAAGATTTAATAAAATTATGATTTTACCCTTAAGTATATAAATACATCTAGGGCTTCATTCTCTCTTTTTCTCCCAATTTTCCCAGATGCATTTCACTCTTCAGACTCTTATTCCATTCTTCATCACTTCTTCTTCAAAATTCAAAGTACAATCACTTTCTTAGAATCTTAAAGTAAGAACCATAAGTTTGTATTCCAAAGTTTGAAATTTAATTACTTCTTTCTTAAGAACAAATTTCGTTCCTTTCTTTTGAGTTTTACAGTAGATTTCTTTAATAAAAACATATGATTTTTGATTAGTTTCAATTCTTTATTTAATGCTCATGTTTTATAATTCTGTATTTTCGATTATCATTTTGTGAGCTCATGCCGACTATCGTGCAGCCTATACCAAAGGCCGACTAACTTCTTTTCTCACTTCTCAATCGACAATCTCCATCAATTTCGGGTAAGTTTATGATTCTCTTCATCACTTTACAATTCTCATTTTTCTCATTATTTTTTGGGTCACTGTTTTTTAATTTCCTAACTCATTGTTTGAGGTTGTTTTGGATTTAATTTGAGATAAGTACTAAAATTTTGAAAAAATTCTTGGGCGTTGGTCTTCGAAGTTCTGGATTTAATTCGTTTAATTAGAGTTAAAGCATTTAGTTATTTGTTGACATCTTTTGATATCTGGACAATGAACATATTCCTTTGTTGTTGCCAAATTCACTGTCATATGTGAATTCACCCACTGTATTATTGATTCTTTTCTTGCATACAAATTCACTATATCACCTGTGAATCCACCCACTATTTTATAGGTTCTTATATTGCATTTTTAAGGCTTGTTGGCTCGCTGCTTGATTTTTTTAATTAAAACATACAGTAACACAGACGCATGGCTGAAAATATCATAACTGATAAGGTGATTGGTGAAAGTGGATCTTCTAATTCAAATGCCACAACACAATCTCAATCAATTCAGTCGACGGTAAGGAAAGAAAGGAAAAAAAGGGTCTCCTGCATGGGATCATTTTGACCAAATTGTTGATTCTGAAGGAAATAAAAAGGGTGTTTGTAAATATTGCAAAAGAGAATATTTTGCTGACATAAAAGATAATGGTACGAAAGTACTACTTACTCATATGGCCAATTGTAAAAAAAATATCTTTGAATGTTGAAACAAGTCAATCAAAACTAGCCTTTCAACCTGTTCCGGGGGGTAATAAGCGTAATATAACTATTGTTCCTTGGAAATCTGATCAAGAACAATATAAGAAGGCTTTGTGTAGTATGGTGATTGTTGATGAACTTCCTTTCAGCTTTGTTAAAAAGGAAGGTTTTATAAATTTTATGAAAGTTGCACAACCTTTTTTTCGAATTCCTTTTCGTAGAACTGTGACTCGGGACTGTTTTGATCTTTTCAATAAGGAAAAACGTAAGTTGGCGAAACTTTTTAAAGATCACAGAGTTTGCCTTACCACTGATACTTGGACTTCCTTATAACGAATAAATTATATGTGTATTACTGTTTATTGGATTGATAATGAATGGAAAATGCATAAAAGAATTATCAACTTTTGTCCAATTTCTAGTCATAGGGGTGAAGATATGTCAAATAGTATTGTTAAATTGTTTGAAAGAGTGGGGGTTACATAAGATTTCCATTGTCACAGTTGATAATGCTAGTTCAAATGATGTGACGGAGAAGGAGTGTAACGACCCGGCCAGCCATTTTGAGTAATTCAGCCACGTTCCCTTATTTACTGCTCAAGTTATACTTTACAATTATTTTATGACTTACCGGTTTAGTTGGTTCAGGTCCGGAAGGATTTCGAAGTGAAATGAGACACTTAGTCTTATAATTGAAAACTTAAGTTGGAAAAGTTAACCGGATGTTGACTTATGTGTAAACGACCTCGGATTTAACTTCTGATGATTCCAATAGCTCCATATGGTAATTTTGGACTTAGGATCGGGTCCGAAAAATTATTTGGAGGTCCGTAGTGGAATTAGGCTTGAAATGGTGAAAGTTAATTTTTTGAGAAGTTTGACCGGGGGGTTGACTTTTTGATATCGGGATCGAAATCCGATTCCAGAAATTTGAATAGGTCCGTTATGTCATTTATGACTTGTGTGCAAAATTTAAGATTGATAGGACGTGATTTGCTAGGTTCCGGCGTCATTTGTAGAATTTGGAAATTTCAAAGTTCATTAGGCTTAAATTGGGAGGATGCGATTCATATTTTTAGCATTGTTGGATGTGATTTGAAGACTTGACTAAGTTTGTATGATATTTTAGGACTTGTTGGTGTATTTGGTTAAAGTCCTGAGAGTCTCAGGTGAGTTTCGGATGGTTAACGGATCAAATTTGGAATTAGAGCAAAATTAGTAACATGCTGCCATCTGATGCAATCGCACCTGCGGAAATGGGCTCGCAAGTGCGCGCTCGCAGAAGCGAGCCTAGCAAGCGTAGATACAGGCAGGGGGCTGTGAGGCAGTGGTCGCAGGTGCGAGGGAATTTCCACACCTGCGTGATCGCTGATGCGGACGGATGGGCGCAGAAGCAAATTCTCCGCAGAAGTGGAGCGAGCCTCGCAAATGCGATCCCGCAGAAGCGGCTTCTAGCTCGCAGAAGTGGAGGCCTTGGCAAACCGCAGAAGCGGCTAAGTGAGTCGCGGGTGCGGAACCCCTGGACAATATACATTTCGAAGGGTTTCCGAGTTTTGCCATTTTTGGACTTTGAAGCACAGTTTTTAGGGCGATTTTCAGAGAGAATTCACGGAAAACTTGAGGTAAGTCACTTGTAATCATTTCTACTCCATAATATTGGATTATCATCGAATAATCCGATTAGATTACGTGTTTTTGAGGTGTAAATCGGGGATTTGAACATAAGGATTTAAAAATAAGATTTGAGAATTTGGAGGCTGAGTTGATGTCAGAATTTAGTAAAATTGGTATGGTTGGACTCGTAGTTGAATGGATTTTTGAATTTTGTATTTTTTATCGGGTTCCGAGTCGTGGATCCCACATGTAATTTTTTTTGAGTTAAATTTCGGATTTTATTGGAAAATTAGCATTTTGATATGGAATTAATTCCTATAATTTATGTGGACTGAATCAAATTAATTGTGACTAGATTCGAGTCGTTCAGAAGTTGACACGCGTAGAATGGAATTTCTGGAGCATTGTTTAGCTTGCTCGACAATGGATTCGTCTTGTTCGAGGTAAGTAACTCTTCTAATCTTGGAGATGAGGGTATGAACCCTGACTATACGTGTTATGTGTTTGGTGTTGAGTGACGCACATGCTAGGTAACAGGTGTGTGGGCGTGCACCGTGTGAACTGTGACTCCGTTATTTCTGTGGTACTGTGTAGTTACCTGAACTTATCTGTAATCATGAAATCTCTACGTACTAGAGTTATCGAGCTGTGATTCATATTATAAACCATGTCTAGGCTACATGCTTATTTTGTTGGGACCCACTGAGGTCATTACTACTGTTGAGTTATTTGCTTACATTGCAATGCCATACTCAGTAATATTTATTCATTGCATATCATATCTCAGTCTCTGTTGTTATTTATTGATACATCATATCATCATTGTAGGCTATTTCATGTCATTGTGAGCCCGATAGACTGGAGAGGTTGATGACTGAGTGAGGCCAAGGGCCTGATTTTGAGATATTGATATTATGACACGTGATTTGTCCGTGCAATTTATAGCGTTTGGGCTGAAGGAGCCCCTCCGGAGTCTACACACACCCCCAGTGAGCGCAGTTGATTTATATT